TGCCTACACCTTGCAAATTCTATTCCCAAGAAGAACTTCAGCTCCCCCAGATCCTTTATTCTGAAAGCTTGTTGCAATGCACCCTTGGTGTCACATACCAACTCAGTATCATTCCCAGTGATAAGTAAGTCATCAACATATACTAGTACAACAGCAATTTTGGATCCTACCTTCTTGATGAATAAGGAGTGATCCAATTGGCTTTGTAGAAAGCCAGACTTCACCAATGCATCTACCAGCTTCACATTCCACTGTCTAGATGCTTGCTTAAGCCCATATAAGGACTTGACAAGCTTACACACTAGGCCTGTCTCCCCCTTGCTGTGAAAACCTTGAGGAAGTTGCATGTAGACTTCATCATGGAGGTCTCCTTGCAAAAAGGCATTATAAACATCCATTTGATGGATATGCCAGTCTTGAGCTGCTGCAATGGATAATACTATCCTCATTGTCACCATCTTCACAACTGGTGAAAAAGTGTCCTGATAATCAAGACCTTCCCTCTGGTTGTAACCCTTTGCCACTAGCCTTGCCTTGTACCTCTCTACTGCACCATCTGCCTTGTACTTGATCTTATATACCCATTTGCAACCAATGGCTCTCTTGCCTGGTGGCAAAGGAACAATCTCCCAGGTTTTGTTGTCCCCAAGAGCAGTGAGCTCAGCCTTCATGGCATCTACCCACTTGGGATCTTTGCAAGCTTCATCAAAGGATGCAGGTTCAAATGTTGTAGAAAATGCTGCCAGACTGGCCTGATAGTGTTGTGACAGATTGCTGTAATTTAAATAATTGCTCAAAGATGGGAACATGAGCTACTGGCATGAGCAGTCACATAGTCATGTAGCCATAATGGAGGCCCTTTGTCTCTAGCTGACTTTCTCAGAGGAACTGCAACTGCTTAATGACTGTGGTCAATGGTTACAACATCTTGGTTCATATTTGCATTCTCAGGCATATCAACATCTTCACTTGCTATTGCAGGACTCATATCTTCAAGTCCACTTGAAGAAGCCTCTCCTGAGTGATGGTCCTCCATGACACCTCCTTGTTTAGTGCTGTGGTCATCAATTTGAGGATCAGTTGTATTTGCAGGATCAGTGGTGACTGGAGTAGGCACATCCTGAGTGATCAAGTAGGGATCAGCCTGAAACATTACAGGTCCTGTAGTCTGCAGGTCTTTGAAAGGAAACACCGATTCCCTGAAAGTCACATTCCTGCTAACAAAGAACCTTTTGTGAGTTAAATCAAATAATAAGTATCCCTTTTGTACAGCTGAATACCCCATCAGAACACTTCTCACAGCTCTTGGTTGGAATTTGTCACCAATGACTGATGGTGTAGCATAGTAAAGACATCCTGGAACCCTCATATGTTTCATAGATGGACTTTTCTTATGAAACAATTCATAAGGAGACTTCCCTGCAAGCACTGGAGTAGGCATCCTGTTGATCAAGTAGACAGCTAACAACACACATTTATCCCAAAACTTTAATGGGATGTGTCCTTGAAATCTGACTGCCCTAGCTACCTCCAATATGTGTCTGTGTTTTCTTTCTACCACCCCATTTTGTTGGGGTGTGTATGGACAAGATCTCTGATGAACTATCCCAAACTTACTGAACATGCTTTCACACTCAGAGTTGATAAACTCTGTTCTAATCATTTTAACCTTAATGTCAAATTGTGTTTGAACCATCAAAAGAAAATTTCTAATGACCACAACTATATCAGGCTTCAACTTTAACAAATAAATCCATGTTACTCTAGAATGGTCATCCATTATTGTTAAGAAGTATTTATTTCCATCATGTGTTGCAACTCGAAATGGTCCCCATACATCCATATGTAACAGTTCAAACACATTTTCTACTCTATCTCTACTAATAGGAAAAGGCAATTTTGCCTGCTTAGCCAAAGGGCAAACATCACAACTGCTTACTACATTTCTACATAACTCTTCACTGACATTTAACATATGTTTCATAACCTTTGGTGATGGGTGGCCCATCCTTTTGTGCCAGAGCTGCAGGGTGTTTTGATCCAATTGCAAATTCATGGACTTCGGAATTAATTCTTGTCCTTTATTTGGAATTGTAGAAGTCAGCAGATAGAGTCCATTAGTTTCTCTACCAATCCCCTCAGCTTCCCAGTGAAGAGGTCTTGTAGTACACAAAAACCAGGAAAGAATGCAGCCATGCATCTTAGCTCTCTAGTTAGCTTAGACACAGACAATAAACTATACTTAAAATCTGGAATGTACAGAACATTCTTAATCTCTTGTCCTTCTCCTATCTTGCATTTACCAATATGTGAAACTCTTGCCTTAGTTCCATTAGGTAATTGCACTGTTTTTCCATCTTGAGATGTTATATTGTATAACTCAAAAAGTGAGCTAAAGTTTGAGGTCATGTGATCAGTCGCACCTGTATCTATGATCCATTCATGGGTACAACCTCCCTTGTCTACTAAGCAGACAGTGGAATGAGATATACCTGCCTTGTTGGCTGTGGTCTCCTGCATCTCTTCTTTATTGAGCAGCCTCAGAATCTGATTGAATTGCTCCTCTGTGAACATAGGTCCCATCCCATATCCTAAGGAGTTCCCCTTCTCAGCATGTATGTTTGGTACATTCATGTTCCCCTGCATCTGTGAGTCACCTTCTCCCAACATTGCAGAGTTAGCTGAACCATATCCTCCTTTCCTTTTAGACTTGAAGTCTGTTGGATATCCTACTATTTTATAACAATTCTCCCTAGTGTGCCCTTTCATTTTGCAAAAATCACATTGGAGATTGTAATTCTTCTTAGGTCGAAACTGACCACCAGTAGTCCTGGTGAACATTAGTGCAGCAACTTCACTTCTTTCAGTTGAATCATGAGGATTGGACATAGCTCTTTGACTCTTACGTTCCATCAACATTGAGTAAGCCTTATTTACTGTAGGTACTGGAATCATCATAAGTATTTGGCTACGAGCTTGTTCATACGATTCATTAAGTCCCATCAGAAATTGTAGCAGCTTCAAACGTTCCATAAAGGCCATAGATTCACCAGTTTTTGCACAAGCACATCCCCGGGCTGGGGCCAAACTATCAAATTCTGCCCAGAGTACTCGTATTTTCGAGAAATATGAGGATATCGAGTCAGTACCTTGATTAATCTTTGCAATTTCTCTATGAATTTGAAATATTATCGAGCAATCTATCTTATCAAATCGCTCTTTCAAGTCCTTCCAAACTTCACTGGCGTTCGAAGAATAAACGATACCACACAATTCATAATCCATGACAAAACGATTGCGTTGCATCGCTCCCAAAGGTCTACGAGATTTGTACCAAAACTTTCCTTTTTACAAGTCCCGTCGATGAACCCTAGCTTGTTCCGGCCTAGGATTGCAATCCTCATCGCTCGACTCCATACGGAATAGTTTTCCGGTCCTCGTAGCTGAAGAGAAATCAACACAGCTCCCGAATTGTCGATTGAATTGAGAAAAAGTGGATAATTGTGACTTAATTTTTCTGGTACTTCATTGTCGATGGTTCCCATGGCTGAACTCTGTCAACAATACTCCGATGAAGATCTAACTAGCAGGAATTGCTCTAAACAACCATACTTATAGTCGATTGCTCTGATACCATGTCAAATTTAGTGAAGGAAATCATTCATGGAGGATTGAGCTAAGAGCTTCATCTTCTGATTCAGAGAAGCAAAATGAATTTCTGTACATTTAACTTCCTAAAACGCTGTTATAAAACTAATCTACCGACTAACCACTAAGTTAGTTACTAAGTTCTACAAATGACAAATGCACCCATGACTTTAAGTTAGTTTACACAATACTACCCTACTCCACTCTTACTATTCTCAACACTGATCAATAGATGTTCTTCTTGATAATCAAATCCTTCAAGAAGAATATCTATACAATTGATCGACTTTTATGGAGATCAAATAATCCACAGAGATCCGTATCATGCTACGTTCGAGAATACGCTAATCCAGCCCTCGAATCACGGAGAACAATTTAGAGGAAGAATCAAGGTATAAACAAAGTTGTAACCCGCAATGTTTATCAATAAAATCACTTTATTCTTTTGTGGTTGCAGTTTATTTTTCATATCTTGAAACTTTATTGCAAACAGTGCCCATAAACCATCGGACTCATCTTGAAGTATTAAACAAATTGGGTAAATTTCAACATTTTCAGGGTTGAAATAACAATAAGTAGTTATCTGTAAATTGTCTATCCGAAAAAAAAAAGATGCAAGTACATTGAGTCATAATAATCATATACAGATCAAGAATGTTCTTTAATAAGTAGTAAAAATTATATGTATATATAGCGGGGGGACTGGCACTACTACATGGACGCACTTGTTACAGCCGGTGCTGCCATTGTGCAAATAGAGTAGAGAGACACTTTCAGAATAAGATAACGTAGCGTGGGAAATATAGAAACGCAACCACACAAACCAACAAAATAACTTAAAACTTTGCAGAAATATCTCTAACACCACCTGCCCCCAACCATAATTTTTTTGTCAAAAAAATCATGGGAGAGCATAGATTAAATTTCAGCTTGGACAAAAATTATAATCTTGTAATAAGTAAAGTGTATACATAAACTAGCTCGGGCACCACTAAAGGACAACCCGGTGTACTAAGCTCCCGCTATATGTGGGGTCTAGGGAAGGGCCGGACCATAAGGATCTATGGTGCACAGCCTTAACCTTCATTTCGGCAGGAGGCTGTTTTCACAGTTGGAACCCACTATTATTTAATTAATAGTTTGGGCAACACTATTATTTAATTAAAAAAAAAAAAGAACAAAAGACAATCGTTTTTCCACGTAGGCGTCAAGTTCTGGCCCAGCAAAAATCTACTATTGTATCTGCGGCCTCTAACTAACTACTAAATTTTCAATTATCCCAAAAATCTTAATAGCCCCACCGCCTTATCAGTTATATCAACTTCTTTGCCAAGTTGGCTCTCCTCCTCTATGTATGTTGCAGTTGAGGTGTTTTCACAACATTAAATCTCCACCATAAACTCCATTGTACTCTAAATTTTCCCTTTTCAACTATATAAGCCAAGCAACCCAACCAAATAATTGCCAAGCCCAACAAATGGCCCTCTTAGCACCACCACCGTCCAAGTCTAAGCCTTACCCATTTTCGCCGCTTCCTCAACCTATTCCTAGGCCGGCGAGAAGCTTCTCCCCTGCTCAACCAACAAAGAATGCAAATACCCTATCATATAAGACAACAAAAACAAGCGTACTTAATAAGTGGAATGGCTATAGACTGGAAGGAAAAGTTAGGATTAGCAGAAGAGTAATGCCAATTGTGAATGCAGCGTCGACGTCGGTATCAGAAAATGGAAAAGAATCAAACTTTAACAGAATTCTGTTTTCTGATGTAGTGGTGAAGCGGCCTAGGAATGTACTTTTTGGTAGGCAGTGGAATTCAGTGGATATGGGCTCAGCTGCTGTGGTTGTGGCTATGCATTTGCTCTGTCTACTTGCACCCTTTAACTTCAATTGGGCTGCTGTTGGAATTGCATTTGGCTTATATGTAATAACTGGACTTTTGGGTATTACTCTTTCTTTTCACAGAAACTTGTCTCATAGAAGTTTCAAACTTCCCAAATGGCTAGAATACTTTTTTGCCTATTGTGGTGTCCAAGCACTTCAGGTAAACAAAATAAATCCCATAATTTTATTATCTAGTATTTGTCTTTTTAATTTTACTGTGGTTTATATTTGTTGATATGTGTGATTGTAGGGAAATCCAATTGATTGGGTGAGTACTCATAGGTACCACCATCAGTTTTGTGATTCTGATAAAGATCCTCACAGTCCAATTGAAGGATTTTGGTTCAGTCATATGAGTTGGATGTTCGATACTGACACCATTATTGAGAGGGTAATTACTTCGTTCTATAGTATCTTTACATTGTATAAAAGATAGAAAATTGTTGTGTATTGATTGTGTATGTCTTTTTTAATGTGTAGACAGGAAAACCCAACAATGTGGGGGATTTGGAGAAGCAGCCCTTCTATCAGTTTGTTCGTGACACTTACGTTTTCCATCCGGTCGCACTTGCAGCTCTGTTATATGCAATGGGAGGATTTCCTTATATTGTTTGGGCCATGGTAAGTGCAGCTTTTTATTCTTCCTCTACACAACTTCTTACATGGAGAAACCTTTCATTTTCCCCTTTCAACAATTTGGAAAAAACTATTAGAATAGGGAAAAGGGAGATTTGGTTGATAAAATTTATGTATTTTCCACTTACAACGTTGAAGATTGAAATACCATATATGCAAATGAAAGTAAAAAATTTAGCTAGGTCAGGCTTATGAGCTCACTGTTTTGATTTGTTTCTATTTAGGAGTTTCTGTACTTGAATTAGATTGGAGAGCGCGATATGAACTCTAAATAGTTGTGTTTGGGTATTTATAACAATGTTTAGCAAGTATTATTATCTTTTTAATCTCCCAATATGTTTATGTGTCTGCCCGCCTAACTCTAGTTGTGAGCCCATCTTGTGTAAGAAAAACGATGTTGTATTTCTCCCAACTGTTTGGGGGTATTTCTACCCGCCATACTCAAGTTGTGAGTCAATTTTGTGGAAGAAAATTGCTGTTGTATCTGTTGTTAGGGTCCTTTATTTTTTTGATAAACGAACTACAAGACAAGCTTATTCAAGTGTGAATTCGTTGCTATTATGCATTTGGTACAAGGAGATTTTAAAAATTCATTTCTAAATTTACTGGGGCATGCAGGGGGTGAGAATTGTGTGGGTATACCACATAACTTGGCTGGTAAATTCAGCATGCCATGTATGGGGTAAACAGGCGTGGAATACTGGTGACCTTTCAAGGAACAACTGGTATGCATCGTTAATTTTTTATTGTCCGTGTATATAAGTTAAACCCATCCATTTCCCCCCCTTTCTTTTGGACTCCGTCAAGATAATTGATTTGATTCAATATAGGTGGGTGGCGTTACTTGCATTTGGAGAAGGTTGGCACAACAACCACCACGCGTTTGAGTATTCGGCTAGGCACGGCTTAGAATGGTGGCAACTTGACATGACTTGGTATGTAGTAAGGTTTCTTCAAGCTATTGGATTGGCCACTGATGTCAAGTTGCCAACTGACACTCATAAACAGAGGCTGGCTTTAGCTGACAGTTAGGACAAAATACAGTCAATGTGTATCACAGGAAATTGTGATTTTTCAGTGACTTGTTGCCTACTAATGTAACTAAGGTAAGTATACATTGAGCACACGGGTGAAGCTTCTTTCTTCTACTCCTCGTTTTGTAACAACTTCGAATGAAAACCACATTTGCGCTCAATTTGCCAGCACATTGCCCATAGTTTCCATTAAAGTTGATAGCTATACTACGAGATATAAATGGAAATTTGTCAGTTGGATGGGGCTTAAAGAGTCCCTTTAATTTAAGAAGCAGATGGTATGCGGATGGCGGCTCGTAGCATTTGTTAAGGGAAATTAGGGCTTTTTTTATTTTTAGCCCGCGCCAGAAACTATTTACGAAAAAGTGTATAAAATTTTATATTTTTTTTATATATGACATACAAAATGTATATATATACAAAAAATATGCATTTTATCTGCTATTATTTTGGGAGAGGCTACACAGTGTCCCCTGCTAGCACCATAGCATATTCTAAAAGGGTTACAATTGGGGGTTAATAAGGTGATTGTATTAGAGATCATATCTTAATTGAAAGTTTGCGTGCTGTTGACACAATACTGAATTACACAGTTTGTAAATAACAAATAGTTATGTCACAGAATAAATCTTCAACTAGTGAAGAACGTATTTTTCGTATAACGTGACGAAGTCTAGTCTTGAGAATGTCAGGTACATTTTAGAAACGACGACCAACAAATTGGGAATCATACATAAATTCTGATTAAAAATACACATATTCCTGTCTTTATCATGACCATCCAACACCTGTTTCTTTTATCACCTGCTCATCCAAATACCAGTATATAATTTATGTCTCATCTATTTCCAGATATTCTTTTATAATTATCTCCCTATTATATTTATAGCCCACACACAAATCAAGCGGTTCCGGGAGCAATAAAAATTTGCACGGTGTGTCACCAAAGGGACTGGTATTTGCGGAATGCCCCTATTGAAATGTCCCCGCTTTTGACTTGAACCATAATTCTTCAATTTTTAAAGTTTGAAATTCTTGATTGGTGGTGGAAAATAGAAGTTAATGATCGATATCGATTATTGTTAAAATCATTTGAATGTTAATAATCTATGCTTAAATTTTTAATTCAAACACGAATTTTGGTGATTTACTGTAAATTCTCAAAACTTCACTGTTGAACCTTAAAAAGTGTTGGACAAGACAAAATGGGTCTTTTAATTTGGTGTTATTTGACTAAATTGAGGTTGTTTGTGTTGGTATTTGAAAGCTTTATTTCAAATTTGAAATCATTTGGAGCTTATTTGAGGTGGTTTGATCAAAATAAAGTTGCAAATTCAAAGAATATTTTGTTAAAACAAACCAAAAAAGTATGCCAGTCGAGTAGACTTTGATGAGTAACTTAATAGATAGGTAGAGTAAATATAGCATCAACTCTACGAACCGGTAAAAGAAATCCTTAGAGAGAAAAAGTATGCAGTGAGGTAGACAAGAAAAAGTATGAACAACTTAACAGATAGGTAGAGTAATAATAGCATCAACTCTACTGATAGAAAAATTCTGAAGAGTAAAAGTATGACAATCAGGTAGACTTCGATGAATAATTATCCGATAGAGAATCCCCTAAAAAGCTGTGTGCGAGTCCGGGGGCTATTTTTTAAATACGGTAAATGTTGGAAACATTCGACTAAGACTATCCCCTTGCAGGACCATTCCTATCAAGGGATTTTTTTCCTTCCTATACCATATATGAAAGTTTATTACCAAAAATGTGCATATTTTGTATATTACCCGTCCAGTCCACATTTTACCTACAAAATTTGTACCATTCGACTATTAAGCATTAAAGGAGCAGAATATTCCCTAAAAAACGCGCTAAAATTAAGGAGAGAATCTTGGTGATAATTGATTCTAAATTAAATTTAATTTTTAAAAAGGGAAAGGAGATTTCTCATCTGCGTTTTTTTCTCCAGAACTACAATTCAAATTCTGAAGAAAAAAAGAACGAACAGCTCCTAAAAATAAGAACAGATTCAACTACTAAGAGTTTCGACGAGCTGAATTCAAATTGTAGAATTCAAAATTTTCGAGTTTCAACAACTCAAAGTTGAAAAAATATGTTCTTCGTCGTTGCTTCTATCAAATTATCGATCAGATATATCTCTTCTTCATCTTTTCTTCTTTCAATCTAGAAATCCAAGAAAAACATCAACATCAACAACAAATCATGTCCAAAATCGCAATCATGCTACAATTTAATGGGGATTGGGATAATTATGGCAGATTTAGAGATTTTGAAGTTGATGCCATTGTGGTAGATGAGAATGCAAGCTACAGTACTCTGATTTCTACAATTGCAGAACAAGTATCAATTGATACTACAGAAAAAATTGTAGAAATCAAATACATCGTGAAATCAAATAGTAGATTGTATATAATTTGTAGACAAATTGTAGTTAATTTGTAGATTGTAGATAATTTGTAGATATAATTGTAGATACGTTGTAGATAAATTGTAGATAAACTATTTTATGATTGTAAATATTTTTATTGTTGTTTGTTATGTAATTCTAGGCGAGGGCTTCAACAGATCATATCTATACTATGATAGATGGTGTGAAGCGGTACATGAATCCTACATTATAACTACTATTAACTACAAAAACTCTACAATTATGTATAAAACCAGTTCTACAATTCAAACAAATTTACCTATAGTTTACCTACAGTGAATGTACAAATTACCTACAGTTTAAGTACCTAATATAAGAATAACTACAATTTACCTACATTTACAGGGCAAACAGGAAACACATCATCCACAATCATGTCTACATTATATCTACATTTTAGACTACAATTAATCTTGGAATGTTCTACATAAACTACAAACTGACTACAATTACACTACAAACAGTAAATCTAGGTGAGGGCTTCAACAGATCATATCCATTACACTAAATCTACAATTACACTACAATTACACTGCAATTACACTACAA